AAGGAATGCGTGTTTAAGCAGAAACGACATTGTTGGAGTAACTCTTGGGTTTACCAAAAATTATCACATAACGAAATCTTGGTTTCTAATACCAAAATATACTTTTAGATTTAAAAATGACATAAGAATTATATAAAATAACCTTCATTTTAATTTAACAGCGTTATGTAATAGCGGATTAAATGCCAAAATGAAGTTTTGAGCAAAAATAGGTTTAAAAAATTTAAATTTGTTGTTTGTGCTATTTAACTACTGACATTCACTTAGTTGTGAGAAAATCAAGATAAAAGTTTAATTTATGTTATAACGAAATTATTTTGCCTACCACATGGGGTTTTAATACAAGGGATAGAAAATTGGGGACTGAAACTAAGGGGGTGGAGATAAGGCAAGCAAAATAATCGCTACTTGTGCGAACGGCACTCAGGGTTTTATAGGAGAGCTGGGGTCGTGGACAAGAAAAAGACAAGGGGGTGGAAATCTCTTGGGACAAACAAAATAAAAATAAACAAGAAAGACCTCGAGTAATTTAATATAAGGCGCCACTTTGAGGTGGCTAATTATACCTATTACAACCACTAGTTGTAACTAGGAAAATACTTATTACCTAAACATAAAAAAACATATCTTTTTCAGATAAAACTCAAAAATGGGGTTAGTTAAAAAAAATAAACAAAGTGTTAAGAAAACAAAATTTAACATTTATTTTTGCTTCATATCACAAACAGTTACAAAACAAATAATAATAACAAAACAATGTTGCTATCGGTTTACAACTGTAGACAGTGGGGACACTATAAGAACTTACATTATTAATAAATTGAAATCATCTAGATCTTTGAATGCAGTTTACATTAAGGTCAACATTTTTAATACAAAACAAAACAAATTCAAAATGTATGGTTAGTTATGTGTATAAGAATAATTATTATGACAGTTAGCCAATCCCTAATTTTTATAATTTTACTTATTACAATTTTTCAACTTGTTATGAAAGCAATTATTGATGAAAAATGTCTATTTTTACTTTAAAAAAAAAATTAACAAAAAAAGTACCTGATTTCACTAAACATTAAATCTCCTTAAAGGTTTTTGGGGCTGGAACTGGTTTTCTAAACACTGCAAACTAACACAAATGCGTCTCACAAGCTTCAAAATGGTCTGGAATGACCAGGGACAAACAAATAGATGAAGGAAGTTGAAGTTGGGCTGTATCATCGGGCTTCGGGTTAAAAAATTGCAATCTTCTTAGCTTGGCTTTTCAAAACTTCATTAAAAAATACGATGGCCTCTTATATCGTTGTAACACCTTACAAATCTTCCATTTAGGACCTAATACAACATAATATATGACTTTCCACAAACAAGATCTGTCGGCTTTCTGAAGTTTACACGCCGAGCTCCTAGCTGCCACCACACTACACATTTTCTTATGACAAAAAAACAAAAAAACATTACAAATTTGAAGAAAAATTCGGACTCCAATAAAACTATAAACGCTTTTGACAGCGGTTTCACCGAGAGTAACGAAATTATCCTCAAAAATTGATCGCATAACTTAAAATAACAAAACACTTAAACGATTGTTGAAACGCAAATCCTTTATGAGGAAACGCAATTCAAGCAGTTCAAATAAAACATTTAAAGAAACACCGAAGAAATAACATCTATAAAATAGAAACAAACTATTAAAAAATGCTTTATATTCTCGAGCCGACTTAAGAAAGAATTGAAAACATATTTGGGGAAAACATATACTCTTCGATTTTTTAAACATATATGAGGGGATTTCAATATATTACAATTACAAGGGGATTCCAATATACACCAAAAAAATTAATGAATTTCAAATGCTACAATGTGAGGAAATTATTTGGATATAAAAATAATAAAAAACTGTTCAAAGTAAAAACGTTTATTATAACTTATGGATGTTAATGCTATAATTAAATTACCAACTAAAAAATTAACTCCGAAGTAAGAAAAAAATCACTTGGTTCTTTGTTGTTAAATATAACATTAACAATGCGCATCTGGTTCGAAATCTGGATTTCCGTTAAATCCGTTTATATCCTCGATTATAGTATTATCTGCTGTAAGATTTGTATAGAAATCGTGGTAACTTAAGGGTATTAAGTGAAGATAACTTTAAGTTTTGCTTCCGAAACTGGCTTTCTTATAGGCCACAATGGTTCCAAATACTTGGCAAACTGTGACCCAGTTGAAGGTTCTCTTTCTGTTCCCTCTTTTATGCATACTTCTGTATAGTCGTCAGTGTGTTGTTACGTTGCTTTAAAGAATATACTGTAAAAAAAAACAATTCCTGTAGCTGGCTGTATACCACGTATCACAAAAAAGAGGTTAGTCTTCGTAAGTGGGTATATTTAAAAATCCCTTAAAAGGGCTACATCAAAAAAAACAAACGTTTTCGGACTAAACAGTCCATCATCAGGTTTAAATTTTAAAATTGTCTAAAATAAGTATAAACCATTTAGTTAAAACAAACGTAGTTATGAAATTTTGACTAGGGTTAAAAAGCAAGCAAAAATTTTTAAATTTAAACCTGATGATGGACTGTTTAGTCCGAAAACGTTTGTTTTTTTGTTGTAGCCCTTTTAAGGGTTTTTTTAAATATACCCACTTACGAAGACTAACCTATTTTTTGTGATACGTGGTATACAGCCAGCTACAGGAATTGTTTTCATTGTGGATTTTAATATACTGTAAGTCTTATCTTTACACAATTTATTTTCTTTGGTTTGTATCCAACGTATTGTCTCGTTGGTTTAACTTGTTTTTTTTTCTGTTAGTGATTTGTTTTTCTAATTTACAAGTTTTCATTATATTGCTATATTCCCCAGGTGAAAATATATTATGTTGCCTTTTAAGTGCACATTACACATCTCCAAAATTATTATCATTTGGAAGAAACCTATGACATGGAAAAAAAATCTCAACCTGATAGTCTTTAAATGCTGTGATTCATCTAGAAGACATTTTAACAGAAGTACTGTTTTAATGTTCCTCTTTTGACCACCCGCAAGGGTCGCTATACAGAATAATGTGCTCAACTTTATCGCTAACATTATTGAAAATATATTTTCTTATACAAGACCTCATTTCTTGAGCACCAAGACCTGCCTGTCCTCGAGCCATAAATGAAAAGTGGATTTCTTTTACTTACCTACATAAATTCCGCAATTATATACCCATAACTGTTGTTTACAAAATATAATACTTGAAGATACGCGAGGTAAAGGCAGCGTTTTTTGTAAATCAAAGGTAAAAGTTTCTATTTGTTCATCTTCGCTTTGGTTAAGTTAAGCTTCATTTGTTTTGTTCCTAATTCAGCTTGTTTCAAATGCAGTTCCTGTTTCCTAACAATATCCTCTTTTTCATCATCTTTAATACTTTGTATTTTAATTTTCAAGGTATCATATTTATTGCAGGTGTCTTTTTTGGCTTTTTTAGTCGCAAGTTAAAATCATTCAAAAGAATTCTTTTAAAAGTTGACAAACTGGCAGGATTTTCACTCTTTGGTTTGTAAAGATTATACATTATTGATTAAGTAGTTAAAAGACATATGTTAAAAACATAAATAAATAAATAAATAAATAAATAAAAGATAAAGACTTACATATATGACTTATTGGTTTAACATAACAGTTTTAGAGATCACCGGGATTGATTTTCAACTCGTCTCTTGCGACCATTTCTTGGTCTTCCTGTTCTAGATTCCTCCATGTTTTCTATTTCTAATCTATTGACATTGTCTTTATTTTCCTTTTCCTTCAAATTTTCTTGCTCTCTAGCAGCTTCTGTATGACCTCCATTATATTCTTCTAAGGATTTTTCATTATTTTTATATGTTGTTAAATTTTCTTTTTCAAACACAAAGGCTTCCTCATTATTTCTTGTACTTATTGTGTACTACTTTTCACGTTTTGTTGTAAGTTCAACTGGAAATTTTCAGCTGTAACTTGCTTGGATGTAGTAATGTTTATGCTATTTTTCTTATATTATTAACACTCAAACTTCTGCCTCAATGCAACGCATCAAAAGGATGTAGAATCATTTAATGTTTTGAGATATACAGGCTCTAGGAGAGGATTCTTCTTCTTAGAATGTCGTCTCCCTACGAAGGTTGGAAATCGACCTCATATTGTGGTGTCAAAACTCTCAAAATTTCATATTGTGGTCTCCTCATCACGTGGCCTAGATATTCCAGTTTTCTGGTTTATATAGTGGTGATTAGTTCTGTTTCTATGCCAATCCTACTTCTTTATTTGTATTTCTATCATTCCATGATATTTTTAATACTCTGCAGTATAACCAGAGTTCGAAAGCCTCGATTCTTTTTAAATTGCATTTTTTTTAATGTCCAAGTCTCAGCTACATACAATAATATTGAAAGTATAGGTATAACAGAGAATGGTACGTAGTCTGATCTCCAAATTTATTATTTATATTTCTGCAGTACGATCAAAATGGTTTCATTGATCCAAGTTTCCAAGTACTGATATTTTTCTACTTGTTCTATAACGTTACCATTGATTGTCAATAGGTATGTCTTGTGGTATTTTGTTAGCATGTACTTCACTTTTTTAGCGTTTATAGTGATTCCCATCTCAGGACTATTCATATTTAAGCTTTCGATAAGTTGTTGTAGATCTTTTATACTCGTTGAACAAGTTGACAGTTGTCAAAATGGCCGACAGTTAAAAAGTGTTGCCAACTCTCATTTCTAGACCTCTAAAAAAAACGCCCTTTATATAGATATCTAGTCTATTAAATGTATTATATTTTACTATTTACCTTATAGAAATAAAAAACAAAATAAGACCAATTAATTTATTTGTTTTTGATTTTTTTTTAATTAGCGTAATCCATTTATTCAATTTTTTTTTTAATTTCATTTTTAATTTTTGCCAGCTCCAATAATATATACTTCAAACTGTCACGGGCCAAATCCCCTAACAATTACCCCTTTTGTGTTACAGGGCGGCAACAGTGGCAACAATGACGGGTTAACTAAACAACAGCTGGATCTGATACATCAAATAATGGAACAAACGCAGAGACAATCGCAGGCCGTGGCGGCTGCAGCGGCGGCCGTCTCGAATAAATCCACGACCGCCCCCAAATCCACATCCAGTAGCGCAGGGGGTAGTAAATCGACCGGTCCAACTAAAATGTCCGCCAAGGCGCATCTGGCAAAGTGGATGCCTACGGTAAGTTAACAATGGTTTTTATAGTAACACCTGCATACGTCGGCGGCACTTTTTGAATTTTATTGTTGCTCTTCAACAGGTTTAACATAATCAGTTATTTAATGGATAAATTTAATTTACTTAAAAGTAATTACAAAACGTAACTAAATTAAGACAAAAATAAACGCGATATTATTTAAAGAAAAAGTATTCTAAAATTATACAGGGCAAATGATTATTAAGATTAATTGTAATTATCTACTATTTAAATGGAAAAAAGCCATAATAAAATTTCAAAATTAGTTTATTGACGTTTGAATTTCCACTTCGGAAATCGGTTTTAAAATACAAACATTGGTAAATTAAACAAAAATGTTGTTTTTTTTTGTTACTTGATGAAAAATTCTTCTAATAATTTAATACTATCCGACTCATTTAAATTGACAATTCAGGCCTGCATTATACATTTTAAAGTAGACGACTTTAAAATGATATTGCTAATATTGTTGAGTTGCGTTCCTGGGATGACTTTATTTGTAACATAGTTCATTCGATTACATGAACAACGATTGAATCAACTTTAACTGGAGAATATCCGTCAGAAAAAATCCTAGCATGTAATTCGTCTTTAAAAAGATAAACACATGTCATGATGACAGAAAATTCTCCTGTTAGTGATTCCATAGTAAATTATGAGGGAAAAACTTGGAAAAAACCTCATAATACTATCCCGACATTGTAAGTATTTTGTCATGCATTTAGTTTACTTTCAATAAACACCAAATTCTGATCATATATGATTGTTATTTAAAAAACGTAAATGATGTATTTTCTTATGTTACTGACTTACTAATACTGGTATTTTCCTTTTCATAACTTCCTCTTTTAATATAAGTAACCAGATCCTAGTAACTACATTCTGCCGAGGAATTTGCGACACAATTGGTCTCATTTGGCATAATTGGAGCCGCTTCTTTGATTTTTCTCTTTTTACCATCCGTTTCTTATAGGACTCTATTTGAACCATTCCGTTGAACCCTAGGTTCGTTATTCCATGCGTGTTTACATATTTGAGATCTATCAAGTTCTCTATGTTTAATATAAGATTGAAAAAACATTTTCCAACAAAGCCTTTGAAAAATAGAATAAAAATGACACCTTTATAAAAAATACACAACATTTTTAAATAAATTGTCAAATGTTGAATTTAATTCAAATAATACTTTCGTAAGTTTTGACATAAATAGTTAATTTACGAATGTGCCATTAGATAAGACTTTAAATATAGTAAAGACAAAAATAGAGAGTGATGATACATTGGCAACTAGAAAAAGACTAAACATTATGTACTGATAATACATATTTTCAACAAAATAATAAATTTTATAAATAAAATTTTGGTCTAGCAAGGGGCTCTAGTTCTAGTTTAATCTTTATGGAAGATTTCGAAACAAGTATTAGTTCTAAACAAAATTTAGAACCCACAGTATGGTGGAGATATGTAGATGATGTATTCTCAATATGGCCTTATGGATTAAATTTATTGGGCATATTTCTGAATGATATACACGATAAATAACAGACAATAACATTTACCATAGAAAAGGAATATAATAACACATTACTTTTCCTGGATGTTTTAATATCTAAGAGCGATACTAAATATAAGACTGAGGTGAATAGAAAACCAACACACACCAACAGATATTAAAATTTCAAATAAATCACAATATTAACATTAAAAAGGGAATCGTTAAATCCTTATACGATAGAGTAAAAATTACATATTCTAACGAAAATCCGTTCTTGGAGGAGAAACATTTTTTAACATCTGTTTTATTAAAAAATGATTATCCTTTTTATCGTTTATAAATAAGGAATTTTCAGCAATCCATCGAATAGAACAGAACAACTTAGAACGAGATCCTACAGCATACACAAGGAATAATACGAGGAAAATAACAATACCATACATAAAAGGATTATCAAAAAAACTTAAAATGATAGGAAATAAATTTAACGTTTCAATAATATTAAAAACAACAAACACATTAAGATTTATTTTGTCTAAAACCAAACCTAACAATGAACAAGAAAGAACAAAGAATTGCATTTATAAAATACCTTGTGAATGCGATCAGTTTTATTTAGGTTAAACAGCAAGGCCATTAAATGTTAGAATAACTGAACATCAGTCTTATATTAAAATTAGAGAATTTGATAGATCTTAAATAAATAAACACTAATGGGATAATGAATATAGGGTCAATGGAATGATTTAAATATAGGCTTGAAAGAAACGGATGGTGAAAAGAGAAAAATCAAATAAGCGGCTCTAATTATGTTAAATGTGACCACATGTGTCACAAATTCCTCGACAGAATGTGATAGGATCTGGTTACCCATAATAAAAGAGGAAGTTATAAAAAGGAAAATACCAGTATTAGTAAGTCAGTAACATAATAGAGAATACATCATTTATGTTTTTTAAATAACAAACATGTAAAATCGGAATTTAGTGTTTATTGAAAGTAAACTAAATGCACGACCAAATACTTACCATGTCGGGATGGTATTATAAGGTTTTTCCTGTTTTTTCCCTCATAATTTACTATGGAATCACTAACAGGAGAACTTTGCTGTCATCATGGCATGTTTGTCTCTTTAAAGATGAATTACATGCTATGATTTTGTCTGACGGATATCCTCAAGTTAAAGTTGATTTCATGTAATCGAATTAACTATCTTACAAGTAAAGTCGTCCCAAGAACACAACTCAACAATATTGGCAATATCATTTTAAAGTCGTCTACTTTAAAATGTATATTGCATGTCTGACTTGTCAATATAAATGAGTCAGATAAAATTAAATTATTAGAAGAATTTTTCACCAAGTAACAAAAAAACAAAATTTGTTAAATTTATTAATGTTTGTATGTAATGCAAGGTTTCGATTTTCGAAGTGGAAATTGAAAAGCCAATAAATTTACTTTAATATTTAATTGTGGTTTATTTTTATTTAAATAGAAACTACTTTAAAATGTCACAGGAAAATGGCTTCAGAACAATATATAAGATAAATTGTTACTTATGATAACAAAAATAAAGTAATATGATTGAAACTGTAGGCGAAATAGGGATTTTTTGTTTAAATACCTGATTTAAACAACTGAAACTTATTTCTTATCTAGGAAAAATACTTATCCACTAAAATGGTTCAAAAATCATCGTATGTCAAACATTCCTCAGAATAGCGTGATTTATGTGTGAAAAACAAATAATGGAACTTTAAATTGCTCTCCTGAAAAGTTGTGATTTCAGACATAGACTAGTTCCGTTCTAAAGCAACGTAATATTTTTAGCATTTAGTTTACCATGTACCGTTGACCTGAAGATGCATAGCAAATTCGTTAGCGCTAGAATATAGCGCATAGGAACCAGTTGTTGGTGCTAGAATAAATTGATTGTAAGTAAGTCTTATTCTAATTTCTTTTTACCTAATTTAAATCTATTTCCTTAAAAAAGAGAGATTTTGTGTAGTAGGTACAATTTTACCCAACTTAGTATCATAACTGTAAAAAGAAATCTAAAATGCGTATATTTAAAGATACAATTTCCTTCTTCCTATAACGAATATAAGATCATTAAACCCATCCTTTATTTAAAAGGTTTTTGTTCGTTTTTGCATTGAATGTTATTAAAAATGTAGGACTTACTTTTCTTCGGTATGTTTATTTTACGAAATTAATTACTAAATATTTCAGCGCCTTTCAGTTTAATTTTGCCTTCAATAAAATTTCCATTAACATGAAGCCCGGGGTTTAGTTTCCGTAATTTTAATTTTTATGCTTAATGAAATATGAGAATACAACACAGAAAACGTTTTATCGTTTTGTGGTAAAGTAACAATGATGAAGGGATCCCAGATCCCGTTAACCTCGATCCCTCGATACGATTGGAGAAATTCCCAAGGAATGATTTATTAATACCCTACTGTATAGAAAGAGAAATAAATTACTGTGAAAATTCCGATACGTGCACAATTTATTTTATTTTCATCTTGATATAACATAAGGATAATCCATTCTGTTTCGACGAAATTTATCTCAAAGGTATTAAAGTCTCAAAATTTTATAGTAGAAAATAACTACTGCGGTATTGTTTTGGAAAAATGGTTTGAAAAATAATGGCTCTTTATGGAATATTTTTATACGTAAAGCACTATTTGATCTTTTTATACAAGATATCGCACACATATTATGGAAAATTTCTTTCTCCTTCAAGTGCCGTCTTCGTTCCGAAGTTTGGCTATCATCAAAGCTATGCGTATTTTTGATGCTGCAGATCTAAACAGTTGGCAATTGGTGCAATTGTACCATTTTCTCAAGTTTTTCAACCATGAATGCCTTCTTCTTCCTATAGATCTCTTTCCCATTATCTTTCCCTGTATAATCAATTGCAGCAACTGGTATTTATCTCTCCTCATAACATGTCCCAAATATTGTAGTTTGCGCTTTTTAACAGTAAGTATCAGCTCTTTCTCTTTCCGCACTCTCCGCAAAACCTCCACATTTGTTACTTTCTCTGTCCAGGGTATTCTTAATATTCTACGATACATCCACAACTCAAATGCTTCTATCTTTTTGATATCGATATTTTTCAATGTCCATGTTTCCATCCCGTAGAGGAGAACTGACATAACGTAACATCTCAAAAGGCGAATTTTAAGTTTTAGACTTAGATCTCTTCCGCAGAACACCTTTTTCAATTTAGTAAATGTGGCTCTAGCTTTCTCTATTCTGGTTCTGATTTCTTCAGAGCAGTCATTATTTTCGTTGATAACAGTTCCCAGGTAATTATATCTTCTTACACGTTCGATTCTTTGATCATGCACGGTTATGTCAGGGAAGTTTTGTGGTGATTTAGATATTAGCATTATTTTTGTTTTGCTTATGTTAAGTGATAATCCGTGTTCTTCACTGCATTCTACTATTTTGTTAATTAGTATATGAAGATCTTCC